CGGGGGATCGGGGCCCCCACTTTGAAAAACACTGAACTAGATAGTAAAGGTTTATATTTGTGTTACATTAATAGTAGTACTCTATGATGAAGAAACGCTGAAATTCACGAGACAGATAGTTTGAACTGAATTCATAGACCTATAGACTAATTTGCAATGAAAAAAAGTTATTTTTATATATTCTTTTACTTTGAATGTTTTATCATTGCTGACTATCAATTGTAGGTCATTTTATTGGAAGACACACATTCTTTATTCTTTTAAAAAAATGTTTATCAACTTTATTTTTTCTTTCACTGACTGAAGCATTTCATGTAAGGATAATGCATGCTCCTTCCAGGTGTGTGGCGGTCACAGCAATTCAAGCGCTAATGGCAGTTGCTCAGACAGTCAATGTGGTGCCGGTTGCCATGACGATCGGGGCGTGCGTGTATGTGGAGGAGAGGGATGCAACGGGACGGTGAGTGCTTCTGTCGCAGCTCTGAATCTCACCAGGAACACCACGGAGAGTCTGAACACCGCCAACGAGGAGCTGCAGAGCGTCGCCAGAAAGGTAGATACGTACATATAGTGTGGGAGGGAGAGTGCATCCTCTTAAAAATATAAAGTATAACATTTCTTTGTCTTTGTTTCCTGTGTCCAGCTCCAGGATATCGCTACCCTGACAAAGGATGTAAAGAACCAGGCGATGAACACGCTGGAGAAAGCACAGAAGAAGAAGGAGCACTTTGAAAACAACAACAAGAAGCTGAAAGATTTCATCAAGAAGATCAGAGACTTCCTCACTGGTATATCATAGTGTTTTTACTGCTGTTATTAGCTCTATACACAATAGTTTGATACTTCTTACATAATGTTGACATAATCACTTAAATCAACATTCAAACGGTTGGCTGGTTATCAATGGGGGGGTTAGCGATTTCATCTCTAGTCCTTAATATCCTTCAGTTAGTAACTTAACCCAAATTGCTCCCGTAGGCATGTGTACTGTTAAGAATTGCATTTAAAGTGGACCAATCATGCTATATTTGAATAATATAGTGTAGGACCATACCTATATAAGGCATATTTATACTTTTTATTTTTCAAAATACCAAACAGATCATTTATTTTAGCCATTCCTCATTTCGCTCAATTTAACACTGTCTTTGCATGGGCTGATTCTGTGAGAACAGCACCATCTACAGGCCTGGCATATGTACTACAGCGTCTCCAGCGCTTTCGAACGGCAATGTCCGTGGCTGTCTCCTCCTGATTGGTGGAGTTGGCCCAATAACCGTAGCGCCACTTCTGTGACGTCACAGAAGTGTTCAAATCTGGATCAGTCTGTATCAGATCCATTGCAGCCCCTTTTTAAGAGATTTGGGTATGGAGGAAAATAGAGAGGGTTGTGTTTTCTGACACTTGGTGAGTTCCCTGGAACACCGGGGACACATATTCATGTATAAAAGACGTACAAAAGTGCATTTTGCATAGGTCACCTTTAAGTCACTTTGGATAAAGGCTTCAGCTTTTTAAAAAATACTATTATTCTTCATTGTGCGTCTCGCCGGTGTTTCTGCAAAGTTGCACATAAATGTGTCTCTTTAAACTTGCTTTCCAAAAGTGAAAGTTGTATTCATTTCCAAAATTCATATCAAAGCAAATAATTGGCTTCAATCGGTATTTGTTGTCATTTTATCTTTTAAAAACAATTTTTAACAGCACTCAAAAAGCGGTTTACTGTTCAACTTGTCGCACACAAAAGGAAGGCTCGCACCTGTATTTAACTTCTGATGATGACATAACAAAATGTAATGACAGACATTTGGAGCTTCAATGGAAAACTTGAAAGAATCTTTCATGTAAACATATGACCTCTGTACAGTTGGAAAAGATTACCTGTGCTCAGAAGTCTAGTTTAGTTCATCTACAGCTGGAATTCTCCTGCGGTAGGATCTTATTTCTAGTATTTATTTGTTTTTGTTTTTCTCTCTTCCCCTTCTTGTTGTGTACAGAGGAGGGTGCGGACCCGGAGAGCATAGAGAAGGTGGCTCTGCAGGTGCTGTCCATCACGCTGCCCGTCAACAGGACAGCTCTGGACAGGATGGTCCAGCAGATCAAGGGCGGCCTCTCCAACCTCACCAACATCGAGGGCATCGTCAACCAAACCTCACAGCACATCAAGGAAGCCAAGGAGCTGCTCCAGAAAGCTAAGGATGCTAAGTAAGTAAAGCTGTTGAAACAACATTTCCCATAATCCAATTTGCTTGAAGGAGCAGGGTTCATTCACTGGCTGCCCACACAAATATAGAAAGCAACTGCTTAAAGGCCCAGTGAAGTGCATTTTTTTGCGCCAAAATGAAATGGCAGTTTCATTCCTTACATATCATTGTGCCTGTTAATGGCTAAAATAATCTTTCATAATTAATGAATTAATGAATTATTAATTTTGCCGTCTGAGCCTAACGGAAG